AAAGAACTGTGGAGACAAGGAAAGACAAGTGGTTGCCAGGTATTGGGAGGAGAAAGGGATGACTGGGAGCACAGAGAATTTTTAGGGAAAGGAAACTATGAGCAGTACCTATAATGGCAGATACATGTCATTATACATTGTCAAAATACCAATAGTGAACACTAACATGCACTGTGAATTTTGGATGATAATGATGCATCAGTATAGGTTCATTAATCATAACAAATGTACCACGTTGGTATGGGAGGCTGATGGTGAAGGCAGTGTGTGTGGAGGTAAGGGTGTATATGGGAACTTTGCTCAATTTGCTGTGAACCTGAAAGTACTCCAAAAACCTAAGTCTATTTAAAAAAATCCACTGTATTTCACCTATTCAGTGCTTCACCCCATTAGTAATCTCTGGCAACCACTAATCTATTTACCATGTATTTATAAAATTAATTTCTCTTTCTTTTTTTTTGTAGAGACAGTTTCACTTTGTCACCCTCAGTAAAATGCTGTGGTGTCACATTGCTCACAGCAACCTCCAATTCCTGGGCTTAGGCTATTCTCTTACCTCAGCCTCTCAAGTAGCTGGGACTACAGGTGACTGCCACATGCCCAACTCTTTTTTGTTGCAGTTTGGCTGGGGCCAGGTTTGAACTCGCCACCCTTGGTATATGGGGGCCAGCCCTACCCACTTAGCCACAGGTGCCAACCAACAAAAAATATTTTTTAAAATAAAAGTTCTAAAAGTTCTGCTGCAGCTGGGAGCGGTGACTCATGCCTGCAATTCCAGCACTGTGGGAGGCTGAGAGGGGAGAATTGCTTAAGCTCAGGAGTTTGAGACTCACCTGAGCAAGAATGAGACCCCCAACTCATGAAAAAAATGGAAAAACCCATCTGGGCACCTGTGAGTGCCTGTAATCCCAGGGGATTCTGGAGGCTGAGCCAGTGAGATGCCCACAGCCCGAGTCTGAGGTTGCAGTGATCTATGGCGCCACTGCACTCTCAGGAGCGTAGGATGGGACTATGTCTCAACAACAGGAAAAAAAGTTCTGGTTTTCTTATAGATTGGACTTTTATTTTCTTCTTTTAAAAAAATTTCCAGCTTGGCGCCTGGGCTTTATGGCAGGCGCCTGTAGTCGCAGCTACTTGGGAGGCTGAGGCTAGAGAATCACTTAAGCCCAAGAGTCTGAGGTTGCTGTGAGCTGTGACACCATTGCACTCTACCAAGGGCAAGATAGTGAGACTCTGTCTTAAAAAAATAAATAAATAAAAATAAAATCAAATAAAAATTTCCATTCATTGGGCCAGGCATGGTGGCTCATGCCTGCAATCCTAGCAGTCTGGGAGGCCAAGGCAGGTGGATTGCCTAAGCTCAGAGGTTTGAGAACATCTTGAGCAGAGTGAGACCCTGTCTCTAAAAATAGCCAGGTACTGTGGTGGGCGCCTGTAGTCCCAGCTACTCAGGAGGCTGAGGCAAGAGAATCACCTAAGCCCAAGAGCTGGAGGTTGCTGTGAGCTGTGATGCCATGG